CTTTTGAGGCTGAAACAAATGTTTTTGGGAATTTTTTAAAATACATTGCGTGTTCTCTTTAACAGTACTGCTGTTATTACTCCTAGCACATTCGGGCGTCTATTACACAATAACAATTAATCATATCCTTCATCGTTTTTCGGTTCAAAGGTCAGCCTGTCGATGCAAAAGTGTGCATTTATTGTCACTGTCACCTTGGCTTTCACATGGGTAATTCGGGGCAGCGGTTTTTGCGAAACTGGGCAGAAACAAAGAAAGTGGAGTGGCGAGAAAGAGAGAATTAGCGGACTAAAAAATGTCATGAAAAAGGTGCTGGAAAAGTAGAACATCCTACAAGATTGTATTTTGTTACTGGTTTTTTGTTTCAGGTGCTCAGTTCAACACAGGATCGGAAAAGCAAAACATATGTTGTTAGCAAGAGAAATCGCTACTATCTTCGCCATAATCAACTTTCCGATGATGTTCCAGTTGCCATTATCTTCAAGGTAAAATTCCCAATGTCTTTTAGGCTGTCAAATCAGGGTTTTAGCAACGCAACTGAAAGAATGACCCCACTGATGGCCTTTAGGCAGAGTTATCCCTTCGCTGCCCTAGTTCATTTTTTTTGGCGAAGAAGCGAACCACTTACAGCCTTGCCAGTGAGTGGCTGCTGGTGGCGCGTACGAGCACATGGGTTGCTTTCGATAACCTCTGCTTGAAGTGGATTCAGAAGAAGCAGTTTGAATTTCTGGCTTCCTAGCGTCATTGATAATTTTAGTGATATTAGGCCGCGCCACAACTGCATTCCCGAGGCACTGTTTTGCCCAGTGTCATTGTCATGGATGCAGCAGAGCTGATTAAGTGCCTAAGGTGCTCAGTGTGTCCAGCCGGCTCCTTGTAGCAGCGGAGACTTTTGGGCAGCTTAGGTGATGAGTGGGTGAACTTTGCCGCATTAGCTTTCGTATGCTTGCTGCAGTCAAGCAGTTTATTTGAAACGACGGCCACGCAAAACAGTGTTGTACTGGAATCGAACAAACTGGCATGCACAAAAACAGAC